TAAAAGTGAGGGGAGGGAGAGGGGGTAAAGAGGGGAGAGGGAGTAAAGAGAGGGAGAGAAAAAGAGTAAAAGAAGGGAGAGGTAGTAAAGGGAGGGAGAAGGGTTATAAAGAAAAGGAAAGGAGAGAGAGATATGCACACAGACGCAAACTGAACCAAGTAGAAGGAAGAAACACAAAGACGAATAATAATTAGGGAGAGGAGCAGTATGAGAAGATAATAAGACCCAGGGATGATAAACTTGAAATAGAGAGAGAGAGTTAAAGAACACCCTCCATCACCACCACACACCAGACCACACCATCACCACACCACCACTACCACACACACACCACCACCACTAAAACCACTACCACACACCACCACCACCACCACCATCAACACACACACCACCACTACCACAACACCACCACCACCATCACCACCACCACCACCACAACCACCCACACAACACACCACACCACACCACCACACACCACCACCACCACACACCACCACTACCACAACACACCACAACCAACCACACAACACACCACAACACACCACACCACCACAACACACTACCACCACCACCACCACCACAAACACATTACCCACAACTGAATCCTATAAGTTTCCCCCAAGTTATATTCACCGTCTTTTATTCATGGTTAAATACAATTACAACTTTGGCAACAGCATAATGGAAACTTAGGTTACGTGTTTTGGGAAGTTTTAATTGTATTTAAGCAAGATGCAGGAAAGAGTTTTGTTCTTATTTTGGTGCTTTATTTTATCATTATATATATATTATTAAAACAAAGACATAAATTACTGGTTTATTTCTTACTTAAAACTGTTTAGATTAGGTTTGGTTTGGTTTGGTTAGGTTAGGTTAGGTTAGGGTAGGTTAAGTGTACCAAGTTAATAATGTGTTGCTTCAGTGTTACAAACGGGTGATAGATTCTCAGTCAGCTAGAGGTAACTCATATGAACTAAAAAACAAAATTAGAAGTTGACAACCCTGTAATAACTCTAGTACAGTCTCCACCAATCACAGTTCAGATACTTTAAGTTTTCCGCCAATCAGCAGAGGAAGAAGCTGGACGTGAGTTGAGGTCGTTACCATGTTCTTTGATTACACGCAACATTTACCCAAAGTTTTAACGACCTGGGTTAACTCATATGAACTAAAAAACAAAATTAGAAGTTGACAACTCTGTAATAACTCTAGTACAGTCTCCACCAATCACAGTTCAGATACTTTAAGTTTTCCGCCAATCAGCAGAGGAAGAAGCTGGACGTGAGTTGAGGTCGTTACCATGTTCTTTGATTACACGCAACATTTACCCAAAGTTTTAACGACCTGGGTTAAGAGAGGCCAAGACCTTTGCTCGCTCCTGTTTTACCCTTTTACCACACGAGAAAAGCACCATTGGTTTATCTTGGTTCATTCATTTGCTGTGTGTGTGTGTGTGTGTGTGTGTGTGTGTGTGTGTTTGTGTGTGTGTGTGTGTGTGTGTGTGTGTGTGTGTGTGTGTGTGTGTGTGTGTGTGTGTGTGTGTGTGTGTGTGTGTGTGTGTGTGTGTGTGTGTGTGCGTATCCTCAGTGTGTGTGTAGTTATTTTGTATGTTAAAATAAAGTACTGTAATCTGAAGGCAGTTTTTAATTGTGCTGGGATTTTGATGTGTTATAAGCTTGAATCAGATTTGGTGTTATATGCTTGAATCAGATTTTGTTATAAGCTTTAATCAGATTTTGTGTTATAAGCTTGAAGCACATTTTTTTATAAGCCTGAATCAGATTTTGTTGTGTTAAAAGATCGAATAAAATATATTGCTGTATTTTAAGTTGTTATTGTTGAGGGTTATGTTATTACTATTGTAAGCTTAGTATACTACAGTACATGAAGCTTTAACTGTGCTGTCAGCTTAAACAATAGGAGATATTAACGTATCAGAATCTCTTATAATGCAATGTCTTAAACACTTCAAAATACAAATATTAAAAAAGACAAAAAACAAATATAAAAAATATTCCATTCCCAAACATATACAATTTGTCTCCCTCCAAAACCCGTCAGCCAAGGAACACCGTTTTCATTATAAAAGTTATTTAAAAAAATGGCATGTCATAGAGCAAAATGGTTTTTACTCTGTACATCGACCCATAAAAATACATCAGGACGCAAAAATTCATGAAGATAGGTTTGAGTGATTACAAAGATATTCTCAGATATAAAATAAAGACTAATTTTTCACAGGAGTTTGTCATTTTTCACCCAGTGTGTTATGTCGTTGAGCAAAAATGAGTTTACCACCTGAAAGCGGATTAAAAGGTAAGCATAAAACAAAGTGAAAATGGATTGTGTGGATAAGACATTATTTCTAAACAACAATATAGTAAAAAAAAGGTGAATTTTCTTCCCTGTGAATCATATATTTGGTAAAACTCTTAAGTCTTTGAGAAAACAAATAACATTATCTATAAAACCGGAAAAGTAAGTCAGTCAGCAAGTCAAAGAGTAAGATAGTCTCCTCCTCATGAAAGAAAATACACTGGCTTTAAAAACTACTGTGACAGAGACGACAAAAACCCACATATATATTCCACTAAACAACACAAAAGGTCTACCTGGTCTTAAACTAATAGAGAGGATATATCAGTTCACCAGTATAGACTCACCACTACCACCAACCTCGAGTAACACTTCAGTACGAGGAAGTATCTGTCACAGTCATACAGCAGCAGCAATGATCTTAGTCGTTAGTGGTGCTGGACTACAGGTAATTATACACACAGGTGGTTGAGTTAATTACCTGTACTATAAGTTGTGATTATTCTCTCGTCATCAGTGGTAAATTACTATATAAATGATCGGAAATATAAATAAATTACTTTTTTTCCCGGTTAATAGAACATCAAAACTAGCAACACTTCTGCAATACAACCCTTTGTTTGCAATATACGCCGTGTTTTACAATATATATCCCGATTTGCAATATTTGTGCATTAAAGGAAGTAATTGTATTAAATGTATCCAATGGAATTACTATATTAAATGGAGTTGTTACATTTAAAAGAGTTGTAATATTAGGGTAATTGCCTTTAAGGGAATTATAACATTAAAGAAGTATTACTTTTGAAGGACACTGCATTAGGGGAGTTAACTATGACAGTCTAGTGTGTGTGTGTGTGTGTGTGTGTGTGTGTGTGTGTGTGTGTGTGTGTGTATGTGTGTGTGTGTGTGCTTTTAAATTACCTCATGATCACTGTTTGCTGATAACACCAAGTAAGCATACTAGTTTTGATGTGTACATGTGTAAGTGTACGTAATCATATGTTTTATGTATATATATGTGTGTGTAATATAAATACTGTATATGTATATTACTAAACCAACCAGACGCAACATAATGAAGTAACCACCACTGGACGCCGAGGCATGATAAAGCGTTAAGGTACGGTTGCTCCCAAACTGTTATGAATCACCGTTTATCATCGTTAAGCAGAGTAATGACTGGTTCAGATTAATAGCTTATGGCTCTCACTTTGATATTAATGTTGCCAGGTGAGGAATTACATTTGATAAATCTCTTACTCATCTTTAATGAACTTTCTATGAGGACATGACCAGAGCAGATGATAGATTTATAACACTTTTAGTTTATAATTTCCATTGTGATTTTCTCTGTTATATGAATCCCTTTAAATTGTAAAATTAATCTAATATGCAAATTTCCGACAACAAAGGCGATTATTCTCTTGCTATTTTCAAATTAACATAATAATCAAAATAATAACAGGAATAAACGTATATCTCAATTAACATTTCACGAGGCCAGGAGGGAGGAGCTAACTGATAAGCCCCTCCCACTGTGTGTGTGGCACCGCCCCAGCCCTGGTTTGGCTCCGCCCCCTCGCTCTCACGGCCCCGCCCCCCTCCTCCAGATAAATCCGTCTCACCTTTGCATTCACACTTGTCGGTGGCTGCTGAGGCTGTGGTGGTGCTCTGGTGGTGACAACCTATTTGTAACTGGCTCAAGACAAGAGTAACTAAATTTATCAGACATTTGTGAATCGTGTAAGAATCTGATTCAGTTAAGGTTAGTAACTTGTCAACACGAACCGTGCGTGATAACGCGGGTGGCACTGGTAGTGTTATCTACTCTTCCCATTATGAAATTAAGAAAAATAAACCTGTCATATAACAACAAAAACAGAAAATCTATTATATATGTACCAGAATGAACACTCTGGCTTAGGTGAAAACGAACCAAGAACTGTGACTAAATTTCCTTTTTTTCAAAAGTTGAGTACACGAACGGCATTTCAAAAACACGCAAGCAAAATGATTTTGTGTCTTAGAACAGTTAAATGCTCATGAAACATGAAAAATACAATGGGTTACATAAAATAAATATTGATAACATCAAAAAACTGAGTTTGAAGCGAAGGTCAATTTTTGTGTTAATGATGTCAGCGGAAGGTCGCGCGTCCTACCCAGACGGTTCCCGGGAGTGTGAGTGTCCGCCTGCCTCTCCGCCGCCCCCGCCCGAGGCTAGGGAAGGCGTGGGCGTGGGAGGCAGCTCGGGTAACACAAGCCGCCCACACTTCTCCATCAGCTCCATCCTGGGCCTGGACACCTCCCAGCGGCTCCACCAAGACACCAACAGCCCGGCCCCTCCACCCTACCCCCACCTCCACTCCGCCTCCTCCATCCCCACCTACACCAAGAGGGGCTCCACCACGCCCACCTACACACATGGTAGACCATCCACGCCCACTTACAACCACGGCAGGCCTTCTACGCCCACCTACACACATGGCAGACCCACCACGCCCACCTACACACACGAGAGACCTACCACGCCCACCTATTCACACGGGAGACCCACAACGCCCACCTATATACACGGAAGACCCTCCACACCCACTTATACACACGCCCGGCCTACCACGCCCACACACGCACATACCAGATCTCCACAACGTCCCACCACACCCACATACTCTATGTACATGGGGGAGGGGAGTGAGGAGCCGCCTACACACACCTCCAGCGGCCACCTGCAGCCCCACGACGCCTCCTTCACCTCCGCCCACGAGGACGCCCTTATGGACGAGGACGTGGACGAGGCAGCCTCCGGCGACGACGAAGACGGCAGTGAACCCGGTGTTGGCGTCAGTGATGATGTGAGCGCCGACGACCTCCGCCCACACGGAATAGATGTTCACCACCCGTCAGCTTTCGTCCGCCCCACGCCCCTACACCTCCGCCCGGAGCTAGAGGGTGTGGAAGGCATGACGGGGCTGGGTGCTGGGGCGCTGGGTGGCCACCTAGGGAACCCCGCCGCCCACCTCCCTCCTCTATGGTATCCCCCCTGGGTGGCCGCCTTCAAGCCCATGTTCGGTCTACAAGGTAAACACACGTCAGCGGGACACTTGTTGTTATATGATGTACACAACACCTGTCCACAACACGTTTATAACCCAACACAGTATACCATATCATTTGTGCTGTACAACACGTACACAATTCCACACCTGTGCAACACTTGTACATCACAAAATTGGTGCAGCACAACTTAGGTACAATATGACATCTTCCTACTACAGTAATTGTACAGTGCAACACCTTCACTGCACGAGACGGGTATTGTTCTGGTTAAAGCGAACATAACACTCCCACGACACAACAATATACAAATGTGTCGCACAGGCCTAAGCTTCGACACACTAGGACCCAGTAAGGCCGGCACTGTACAGCACTGTGCCCCGGACGCGAACCAGCGACTCTTGAGATAGGAGGCGAGCACTGCATTCACCCGGCCGTCACAGAGAACACAAGAGCTGTCAATTACAGTACAGCACCAACATAACACCGAAACAGCTATGACTATACCTTAACACAACATACGAAGGACAGGACTTTAGTTGTCCAATACAACTCACGAACAACATGATCTAACACCAACACAAGTCCACTGAAACACCTAAACTGTAAAACAAAACATAAGAACACAACCTCACATCACAACACCTGAGAAACAAGTGCACATCATCACCCAAAATGAAAATACACATAAGATGTACTCACATAAATACATCTTCCAGTCACAGGGTTAAATACATACATGAATCAGAATAGCTAACACACACACACACACACACACACACACACACACACACACACACACACACACACACACACACACACACACACACACTCAATTTAAGTATTAATCCTAACTACGGCTAAGTAACTCTACCTGGGGAGATAACAATAATCACCACTTATGACCTCTTAGATACTTCTCTGTTAATCACCACTTATGACCTCTTAGATACTTCTCTGTTAATCACCACTTATGACCTCTTAGATACTTCTCTGTTAATCACCACTTATGACCTCTTAGATACTTCTCTGTTAATCACCACTTATGACCTCTTAGATACTTCTCTGTGGCAACACCAACACCAGGGGGTAGGGGAGGGGAGGGGGGGTGTTTTGAGTCCTCAGTAATTACCCAAAGATATGTAAAACACACATCTAATTTACAGGTATAAAGGTATAGAGGTAGAAGTCCTCCTGTTATTTGTAAATGTGTAAAAGACTTCCAGGTATTAATAAACTTGTAAAAAAGGATAAACAAATATTCTAGGTATAAGTAAATGACGTAAATATCATGTTATATAGGATGATGAAGAAGATTCATTTACAAAAGTCTAGAAATCAGTTCACTATGTATGGTCACGAACTTTGTAAATGACCGTTTTTCAGTAACAGGTAAACTCCTTTAATCACTTACAGGTAAAATTGTGTAAATGAATTTCTCTATATTACCATAAAGAAATTTATATTATGTAAACCAACAAGAAATACCCCATTTTTACGGGTAAAATATATGTAAATAATCAAAGGATCGTTTACATATTGTATAAATTATGAAGGAAATGTTTATCAGGAAAAATAAGCTAAAATAAATATTTTTCATTTTTAGGTCTTACATTAACAGGTAAAAATGTGTAAAAGATACTTCTTTTTTTACAGACAAAATACGTAAAGCGTTTTGGTTTATATGTAAGAGTGTAAACTTGTGTCTCATTTACATGTGAAATGTGCAAATACCGCCTCATATTGGCATGTAAAATGTACAAGTTTTTGTTTACACGTAAAATTCCCAACACTTTTATTTACATGTAAAATGTACATATTTTCTCTCTTTTACATGTACATTATGCAAACACAAATTCTCGTTTTCAGCCAAACCGTGAAAAAGACCTTCTGTTTACAGGAAAAACACTCGTCCATATGTAAAATACAGTCACTCGTCCATATGTAAAATACAGTCACTCGTCCATATGTAAGTTTTGTAAAAGATTGTTTCTCAGTTGTGGAGTAAACATAAGAAGGAGATGGTTCACATACCAGTATAAATAATAATCAACTGTTGCTATTATTAATAAGTGTAGCTATACTCTCAAGATACCTCACGAACTGACCTGATCTTAAACTAAATAACTCAAGCAAAAACTCTTATATATAAATATAAGACACATTGTTTTTACTCATTCCTACCAATAGCTGTAATCGAAACCTCGTTGTTTAAACTGAATAATAATGTACTGTACAACACACAAACCATTAAATTGATATTGGTGTTATGATGTATTACTGGAGTAGTTTAATTCCGTAATGTAAACACACATACAACTTACTGAAACTACTTGAATTATTTTTTTATGGAAATTAACGAGTCTTCAACTTTCTCATTCCTTCTCACTTAAAATATAAAGTCATCATTCTCTACTTCTCAAACAAATTTTACCCACCACGTGTTATAAACCTTAAGAGGAGTTGAGGTCAAGGGGGATATACATTTGTAACTTGTTTATATGTTTGGGTAACGTGTGAGGCAATCCTTCCTCTCCCTCTTCAGTAAGGCAGGTTAGGTTAGGTTAGATAGGTAGGTAGGTAGGTAGGTAGGTAGGTAGGTAGGTAGGTAGGTAGGTAGGTAGGTATTACAGTATATGTCGCCTACGAGCTCACAACATCCTGGTACAAAAACTCGCTAAAAAGAGACAGAATTCTACACTAAATTCCGGTACTAGTTGATGTTATTGATGTTATAATGTATTACTACGCGTTACTCTAGATACATAGATACACAAGTTAACAGAAAGTAAGAGTTAAGAGTGAAACATCTTTCTGAGTCTTGTAATAGGAATACTTGGATATCAAATAAGTAACAGAAATATAAGATAAAATAATGTCAGGATGGGATTAAAACAACTGTCTTTAAAAACTTCAAAATTAAATCGATATGAATTGTATTTAAAACCTTCAAAGTCGAAAAACAAATACATATAAAAGTATCAATAGTTTTAGAAGATTTTCATAACGAGCAATGGTAAAAAAAAATAGTATGGAGAAAATTTTGAATGATCTGTCAATATTCACACACGATACTAAATTCATGGCGGGTACAGCTGTTACTGGTGGTATAAATTAAGAGTCGTGTGTTAATATGAATGGAAATATAAACCACTACAAATGAAATAGATTCCCAGTAATATGGCGTGAAGTGGTGTGAAATATATTCTCGTAAGGTTGGCAAAGTCACTGAGCCCCGTCTTTTTTGGTTGTGTTATCGCTGTCGGGAAATAACAACACATAAATTAACCAGTGTAATAGTCAGTGTAAATTGCGGGCGGAGGTTTTGTTCATGTAAGGATATCACCCGAGAGCAACGGCGCATGTAAAGTAGTAAACACAAACGCTGTAATATTTAGGTGCCGAGTGTAATTTTGAGCTGGACTGGGAGTGCTGTAAGGGTTTCCAATATCCTAAAAGTCCCCCACAGAAATGCACCAAATGAGGGCATAAACAATAAATGAAAGAGTTTGTAAATAACCAATAATATTAAGTATAAGTTTACCTCTGAAGAACTGGCAGGCGGCGCTGGGGTCTGTATATTGTTACATGCTTATAGAACCGCCATGGACAGACACGCTGATATTCATTCATAACTCGTTCTTTCTTTCACTCGTATCAAGAAGCTACCTGGACCACTACGAGTTACCATAGTGATAACGGCGGCTAAACACTCTTAAAACGATTTGCTAAGGAAACAAATTAAGATCACTACGTTGATATAACATTTAGTACTTATCAATTACAAGAAAAATTAATTAAAAATATCTGCACCACCGCTAGTATATATGAACCGCTTCAGAGCTAAAAGATGCACACGATGTATATAGACCGCCGTGTGTGTGTGTGTGGACCAACATAACTACGAACTGTATTTTTCTTGATATTTTGTAAGAGCGCATGAACTGTTTGCTGCTTACGTGTAAACTTTGGCCACAACTGGAAACTTTGGATTTTCTTAGCGTGCGATTTGTTGGTAAAGTCAGTAATTTCATCTAAACGTTAATTCCACATTTAGTTTATGAAAGGATCCAAATGATAATCTCAGAATAACTTCATTTAACAGCCTTTAAACACCAGTCATAAGTGTTAATTAATCACTCCTACAAATCTTGACAGTATAAAACAGAATTAACGGACCTAATACTATCAACGAGTTACTTCAATGTGCATTACGTTGTATTAAGTTAGTTCAGCTTAATAATAAATTGGTCACTGAACACAATCATGAAGAAGGTATATCTAGGCAGCTGTCTTTAACCACTCGTGTACGGGATCCCCTTCTGTGCTGAATAAAATCGTCTGGTGTTATACAAATAAAATAATAAAAGTGACGTCTCTGTAGTGAAGGGGTAACACAACTGACCCCCGCACGCACAACTAATTTATAAAAGCAGTAATAATTGTTTCTGGATTTCTTCATCAATTTCATATGCTAAAAGTAATGTCAAGTTCAAAGTGAAATTTTCCTCAAGGGTCCGACGTCTTCCTTTCATCCCAAACGGCGACACCTACAGTATGCGTTATGCCGCGCCCTCCACAACTTTGTGTGTACAGACGCAGTGAATAAGGCTGTATCCATTCTGTTAGTTTCTGCATTAAGCCAGAGGTTAATATTATATGTACATCTTGTTAACTCTCTTAATTCCTAAACATTATATTATTTTTACCCTGAGAAGCGTGGGTCAAGGATTCCGTAGTGTGGATATAGGGTGCGGTGAGCGGACGTTAGGTCCTAGCCACCCTGGGAAAAATATTTATCAACAAAAAAGTAAAAATCGATTTCAGTCAATCGATGGGACAGGCCGATTTCAGATATAATCAAGATAACAAATTATTGCCGAATTCTCAGATAACTATATCAGAAATAGATAATATTAATTATAGTAGAGATTAAAGTTCGGCGTTCATAGAAATATTTGTAGTCATTATAGTGAAACTGGGAGCTGTAGAGTGTAGAGCTAAAGGTCGTCAATATTCACTAT